ATGAATTGGTTGGTGTTGGATTTTTTTTTTCCCTAAAGATCCACCTGTTTCCTTTGGAAAGTCAGACCTACAGAGAGGAAAGACAAAAAGATCTTCCATCCACTGGCACCCCCAGACCCCCACCGCGAGTGGTCGCAAAGGCCAGAATTGAACCTATCTGATGTCAGGAGTCAGGAACCTCCTCTAGGTCTCCAATGCAGGTGCAGAGTCACAAGGATTTGGGCTGTCCTCTAACTGCTTTTCCAGGACACAAGCAGGAAAGTGGAACAGCTGGGACACAAACTGGGCCACATGGGACCCCAGCAACTAGGCTACTGTGCCAGGCCCCTGGGGTTGGATTTTATCAAATGCCTATTCCGCGTCTTTTATGATAATCTTTATTCTTCAGTTTGTTGTGGTGGTGTACCTTTTTACTGATTTGCATAAGTTAAACCATCCCTGAATGCCAGGAATAAACTCCATCTGGTCCCGGTGGATGATCTTTCTGATACATTGTTGGATTCTGTTGCCTAGCATTTTTGTTGAAGCCTTTTGCAGCTATGTTCATCAGGTCATCAGGAATATTGCTCTGTTGTTCTTTCTCTGTTGTGGCTGTATTTGGCTTTGGTTTTAAGGTGATGCTAGCTTCTCAGAAAGGCTTTGGAAGGATTGCCTCCCTATTGTTTGGAATTACTTGGGATTAGAGTCATTTCTTCTTGAAAAGTACAATCAGTGCAGAATTCATTCTTGGGCTTTTCTTTGTTGGGAGGGATTTAATCAATGATTCCATCTACATCCTGCTTAATATTTAGATTATTAATTGCATCATGATTCAATTTTTGAAAGAAAATAGGTGGCCAAAAATCTAAACATTCTTTCTAGGCCTCCTGATGTGGTGGCATATAGTTGCTTGTAACATTCCTGATTATTCATTGGATGTCCCAGGTATTGCCGTTATATTTCCTTTCTTGTCCCTGGTCCTATTGATTTGTACCTTCTCGCTCCTTTTTTGATTAGATGGGCTAGTGGGGAATCTATTTTGCTGATTTTCTCTAAGCACCAAGCCTTTGATTCGTTGATCTTATGTATTGTTTCTTTGGTCTCTTTTTTATTTCCTCCCTATTTTTTGGTTACTTCTTTTTTCCTGCTAATGTTGTGATTGTTGTTGGAACATCCAATAAAATAAGCTGTGGTGCCAGATGCAGGCTGGGATTTGATGAGAAGAGGCTCCAGCAAGAGGAAGCAAAGGGCCCTCGCCCAGCAGGAATGCTGCACCCAGCGAGTCCTTGGAGGTGTTTTGTGCTCTCCTTGATGAAAGGTGAACATATGTGCTCTGTCTAGTCAGCTAATCAAGGACCATCAGTACTCCTTATCTAGTCCCCATTTCAATAGCGCTTTGATAAACACACCATAAGAGAACTGTTACTCTTGAAATAAACTGTCAGTTCCCCAAGAGATCACTGCCCTCCCACCACCATTTCTTTTTGGTTGCTCTCTTCCTCAGGAACCCACAAGATAAACTTGCAGTGATGGCTTTGCTGTTGTTTTTCTAGCTCCTTCTAACATATCATTAGCCCATTTATTTGGCACTTTTCTAATTTCTTGACATAAGCATTGACTGCAATGAACTTTCTTCTTAACACTGCCTTGGTCGTGTCCCATAAGTTTTGATTTGCTGTGTTAATGCTTTCAATCATTTCACGCAAGTTGTTACTTTCCTTTTTAATTTCTTACATAACCCATTGTTCCTTTAGCAGCACTGTTCAGTCTCCAAGTATTTGCATATCTTCTGGGATATTTTGACTTGTTGGTTTCCAGTTTCACTCCATGATGGTCTGAGAAGATGCATGGTATAATTTTGATTTTTTTTTTTTTTAATTTGCTGAGGCTTGTTTTGTGGCCTGTAATATGATCAATCCTGGAGAAGATTCCATGTACTGATGAAAAAAATCTTATTCTGCTTCTGTTGGATGAAAGGTTCCATAGATATCAATTATATCCATTTGTTCTATTGTCTGGGTGAGCTCTGCTGTTTCCTTGCTGAGTTTTTAGCCTACCAATCAGTCCATTGAGGTTAATGTGATATTAAGGTTTTCCAACAATACTGAAGTCCATTTTTCCCTTCAAATCCACTAATATTTGTTTCATGTAGCTAGGTGCCCTGGCATTTGGTACATATACATTTATTATGGTGATTTCTTCTTGCTGAATGGATCCTTGGATCATTATGTGGTGTCCTTCTTTATGTTGAAGTGTGTCTGATATAAGAATGGCTACATCAGCTCATTTTCCCTTTGCATTAGCTTGGAATATCTTTTTCCATCCTTTCACTTTCAGTTCCCACATGTTTGCTCGTGAGATTTGTCTCCTGTAGGCAACAACAGTTGGGTTTTGTTTTTAATTCAGGTCACTAATCTATAGCATTTGATTGATGAATTTAAACCATTTACATTCAGGATTAATATTGATGGGCAGCATTTGGTCCTTTCATTTAGTCTTATTTTATCCTCTTATTGGGACATTCTCTATCTTTGTTTTTGATTTTGGTAGGTGTTCTGTTTTCTCTGGAGCACATCTTTAAGTTACATTTGAAGGGTATATCTTGTAGAAGTGAAGTCTTTCAGTTTTTGTTTGCATTAGAAGTACTTTCTTTTGGGCCCAGGGCAGTAGTCCAGTGGCTAACATCCTCGCCTTGCATGCACCAGGATCCCATATGAGTGCCAGTTCTAATCCCAGCAGCCCTGCTTCCCATCTAGCTCCTTGCCAGTGGCCTGGAAGGGCAATCAAAAAAAGACAGCCCAAAGCTTGAGACCTTGCACCCGTGTGGGAGACCAGGAAGAGGCTCTGACTTCAGACTGGCTCAGCTCCAGCTATTGCAGCCACTTGGGGAGTGAATCAATAGACAGATCTTCCTCTCTGTGTTTCCTTTTTCTGTATATCTGATGACTTTGCAATAAAAATAAATAAATTTTTAAAAACGACAGGTGCTTCACTAAAATTACTTCATCAAAAGACATCATCAAGAAAGTGAACAGAAGCCCACGTTGGGAAAAAATATTTGTAAAATGTATATGCATATGCATATATGACAAGGAACTTACATTTCATAAACATCTACAAATCAATGAGAAAAGACAAATGTCCCAATTAAAAATGAAATTTTACAATATATCATTTCAAATTATAAAATATGTGGAAGGGTTGCCATTTGGTACAGCTGCTGAGGTATTTGTGATAACTGAATCTCATGGTGGACACCTGGTTCAAGCTCTGGCTCTGCTCCTGACCCAGCTTCCCCCAATGCACACCCTTGGAAGACAGCAGGTGACAAAGTGCCTGAGTCCCTGAAATCCAAACAGGAGACCCAGACTGAGTCACTGGCTCTTAACTTCTGCTTGCTCCCTACCCTGGCTCACTGTAGCAGATATTTGGGGAAATGAACCAGAAAATGGAGAGTCTTTCTTCTTTTGTTTCTCTTATAAATAAATAGCTTACTTCAAAAAGAAAAGCACTCCCTACAAAAGAAAGTCCATAACCACTTGGTTTCACTGGTGAATTCTACCAAAAGTTGAATGAATTAAACCCAATCATTCGTAAAAACTCTTACAAAACAATGGAAGAGAACTTTCTCCAACTTATTCTATCAACCCAACATTAAGATAATAAAATCAACGATCTCCCAAGAAATTTAAAGATCAATATTCTTTATGAATACATATGCAACATTCCCCAGAAACAAAAGGAACCTAGGAAACAAAACTGCCAACATGAAGTCTTGTTACACCATGAGCAAGTGGGACTTTCCCCTGGAGTACAAGATTGAGTCAACACATAATAATCAAACAATATAACACTATTAACATAATAAAAATGCACATGACCATCTCATTAGATGTTTAAAAAGCATTTTTCAAAATCCAGTACTTTTTAAAAAAGATTTATTTATTTTTTATTGGAACGTCAGATATACAGAGAGGGGTCACTTCTACCTTGCTTTGTATATAAGATCACAGCTGGGGATGTGAGGGCGATCTGGCTGTGACATCTGTCACCCCACTGATCACCAGGGTTGATTCGGCTGATCTGGCTGGCTAGGCGGGTGTCCCCTTCCTCCCTCACCGCTCCATGTGTGTCCCTCCTGAAGCTGCACGCTCGCTTCGAAGAGGATGACCATCCCCTCTAGAGGAGGACCAGTCTTTGGTCAAGGGTATAGGAGTAGCTGCGTTCCCCTGCTAGAACCTCCAAACAAGCTCTCAAGATCACAGCTGGGACAATTAGGAAATAAGAAGTACTAAAGCCTATCAAGTTTGGACAGAAAAAAGTAAAAGCATTTATAGATAACACAATTTCAACATTTACTAAAGCTGCACTAATCAAGATTGTAAAATATTGGTGTAACAACAGGCATAGAAACTACTGAAACAGGTTTCATAGTAAGCTCTAACATTTATTATAACTTGATTTCGACATTGGTGACAAGATAATTAATGGGAGAAAATTGTTTTTTCTTCAACTGGTTCTGGGAAAATGAAACATACACACATAAGTGTTAAATTGGACCTATATTTTACAGTGCATACAAAAACTAATCAAGGGCCCCGCGGCATGGCCTAGCAGCTAAAGTCCTCACCTTGCACACACTGGGATCCCATATGGGCACCGGTTCTAATCCTGGCAGCTCCACTTCCCATCCAGCTCCCTGCTTGTGGCCTGGGAAAGCAGTTGAGGACAGCTCAAAGCCTTGGGTTCCTGCACCCACATGGGAGACCAGGAAGAGGCTCCTGGCTTCAGATCGGCATAGCATCGGCCATTGCACTCACTTGGGGAGTGAATCATCGGACAGAAGATCTTCCTCTCTGTCTCTCCTACTCTCTGTATATCTGACTTTGTAATAAAAATGAATAAACCTTTAAAAAAAAAAAACTAATCAAAATCCTAAATGCAAAATTTAAAGCTAAAACATTCTTAAAAGACAAATGGATATCTTCATGACCTTGGATAAGGAAGCTGTTTTTAGGCATGATACTCAAAGTAGAAGCAACTAAAGAGAACAAGGATAAATTAAACTTCACAAAAAAACATATAGGTATTACTTCAAATAACATTATCTAGATAGTGAAAAAAAAGGGGGGGGGGGGCAGGCATGACAGCTCAACTAGCTAATCCTCCCCTTGCAAGCTCCAGCATCTCTTGTGCTTGCTGGCTCATGTCCTGGTTGTTACACTTCTTATCCAACCCCCCACTGACAAAGCAGTAGAAGACTGCCCAAGTGCTTGGGCCCCAACATCCACGTGGCAGACATGCACGGTTCCTGGTTTCAGATTGGCTCAACTCCAGCCATTGCAATCACATGGGAAATAAACCAGCCAGCAGTTGGAAGGTCTCTCTCTCTCTCTTTCTGTCAATCTACCTTCTAATAAAAATAAATAAATCTTAACAGAATCTTGCTGAGTACTAACAAGTACCATAATACCTAATGCATTCATTCTCTTCCTAGTGTGTAACATGCCACTGTCTTTTCATTGGAGACAGACAGTATGTGCATGCTTTGGTAACCAGTTCAGCCCTCAAAAACCTGCAGTGGCTAGGGCCGGGCCAAGACTGGAGCCCAGAGCTGGGACTTCAATGCAGGTATCCCACATGAATGCCAGGCACCAACTGAGTCATCACTACAGCCTCCCAAGGGGAAAGTTCCCCTTTCAGTAGCTGGGTGACATCAGAATAAATGCCTTCCAACATGCACCCTCCATTTTCTCAGTGTTGTCAGCACGGGAGTAATGGCAAACTCCCAGAATTTTGTGAAGGAATGCACGAGGAAGTACCTGGCACAGCACCAGCTGAGCAGGAAGTCATCCACAAGCAGCAGAGCACCTGGAGGTGTTGGGAGTACCTGCAAGATCATTTTAGAAACTCAGGCACAACTAACTGCCATTCCTTCAATATGCTCTGCTCCCATCTACTGTTTCTCCCACCAACTTGTATAATCCCTTCAGTAGCCAGAGAGCACCTGCGGGGGACTCTACGCTTCCTGCCCTTTACCAACTGAGGGAAACAGAAGCAAAAATAAAGATTCAATGAGGGGGCTGGTTTTGAAGAGGGCTTCAGAGAAAACCCAGAGAGCAACATGGGTGTAATTCAGAAGTCAAACTTTAGGCCTATCTTGGTAGCCTAGTGGCTAAGTCCTTGCTGTACAAGTGCTGAAATCCTATATGGACAACAGTTCATATCCCAGCTACTCCACTTCCCTTCCAGTTCCCTGCTAACGGCCTGAGAAAACAGTAGAGGATGGCCCAAAAGCCTTGGAATCCTATACCCATGTGGGAGACAGAGAAGTTCCTGGCTCCTGGCTTTAGATCAGCTCAGTTCCAGCTGTTGTGGCCACTTGGTGGGTGAGTCAGCAGATAGAAGATTTTTCTGTCTCTTCCCTCTGTAAACCTGACTTTCCAATAAAATAAATAAATCTTTAAAAATAACAATAAATAAGTTTTTAAAAAGAAGTCAAACTTTCCAGTTGAATTATAATCAATCATTGCTCATTAGCATATTAATACAATGGCTTATACTGAGTTGCCATCTGACATTAGCTTTAGAATTTCATTAGTTTCAGAAGCTTCGTGAGAGGAGTGTATTGGAAGAGGACTTCATCCAACAATCTGGCTAGTCAATATTTACTAGATGTTCACCAGCTGCCACACCCAGTGCTGGGCTCTGACTTAAAACAGATACAATGCAAGCCTGGCACAGTAGCCTAGTGGCTAAAGTCCTCCTTTAACATGCTGGGATCCCATATGGGCACTGGTAAGTGTCCCGGTGGCCACACTTCCCATTCAGCTCCCTGCTTGTAACCTAGGAAAGCAATAGAGGATGACCCAAATCCTTGGGACCCTGTGCCTGCATTAAAGACCCAGAGGAGGCTCCTGGCTCCTAACTTTGGATCAGCTCAGCTCTGGCTATGCAGTCACTCAAGGAGTGAATCAGCAGACAGAAGATCTTTGTCTCTCCTCCTCCTCTCTGTATATGACTTTCCAATTTAAAAAAATTTTTTTAAACAGATACAATGTGTCTCAGTCAGCTAATAAAACATTCACTCTGTGACCAGCGCTGTGAGATCAGCCACAGATGAAGAATTACTGGAATATTCTCCGAATTGCAGGGAGCATGCCCAAGGTGTATGACAGGCAAAGCCACCTGTTTCCCTCATCCTTTTTTTTCGGCCCCAACTGCCATCGTCTTAACAATCTGAAGGTCTGTATCCCTCCAAATTCATTTGCTGAACCCTGAACCCCAAGGTCATAGTCATAGAAGGTGGGGGAGATTAAGTCATGATGATGGAAAAAGGTGATTTTCTATATATTGGTGTGTTGTACACCAATTCAGCAGTAACAGTTACAAAGGTTAAGATAGCTGCCACGTGCAAATGCACCATCCCCAACCAGACAGAGGCTCCCTGAAAAGAAACTAGTCTTCAAAACATGTGCTCATCCACACACTTGGCTGCATGCCACCGAAAATGTTGGAACAGGGCCTGGCACCACAGTGGCTAAAGCCCTCCCCTTGCATGCGCAGGGATCCCATATGGGTACAGTTTGCATCCCAGCTGCTCCACTTCCACATGGGAGACCAGGAAGGAGCTCCTGGCTCCTGGCTTCAGCTAAGCTCTGGCCGTTACTGGCCACTTGGGGAGTAAACCAACAGATGGAAAACCTGCCTCTCCTTCTCTCTGTAAAAGCCGATTTTCCAATAAAAGTAAAAATAAGTAAATATTTTTAAAAAGTGTTGAAGCACTGGCTATGTGATAGATGAGCCCCAGGTTCACATATCTGACTGTTCTGGAAGTTGTGAAAGGGTTAGGGTGTAGAAAACTGTTGATTCTGGTGTCAGATTCTCTTTACTGTTGCGTTTTTGGGTTACCTGTCTCAAAACATACCACAATCCTATGAAAGGAGTGAATCTGTAGGCCCTATGGCTTAATTTTCAGCTTCCAATCCTACACTCATTCAATAGCACTTGGGGAAAAAAAAGAAAAGGCCAACACTATTTTTTCTCTACATTTGAAATATATGGCTGACAGATGATAAGACGGTGGCCTTAAGTTGGAAGACCAAAGCATTACTTCTGCAAAGTTAACATGTCTGAAGAAACAAGGATAAAGTTACTCTGAAAAGACCTTCTAAACCTGGTAACTAGGTTTTATTTTAAAATATACAAATATTCTGAGATGCAGAGTTTAATGCTGCTGGATTTTTAAAACTCCACATAAAACTAATATAATAAAATCATCCATACCAAATTAAAACTCTGAGATTATGAAATCCATTGACTAAATTTACACTGCAGCATTCCTGATAAACTGTTTAATGTTACCAACCTTGTTTTTTTTTTTAAAGTCACTTTTATGTAACATGCTAAATTCAATTAAACCAACTTTGAGTTTCCTTAAGACAAAAAAAACATGTAAACTGAGACAAGCAGTTAATGTTGTACATAGAAGAAAAACATTCTTGCTTTACCATATCGTTCCACATAATACTGGTATGGACTCAAAGTTGGGATAATTTGTCAAATGCCACAACAAGGAGGAAAGTTGTCTGTCAGGAGCAAAATCCTATATCAGAAAAACAGGAATCAAGAAAAGACTAAAAATGTTGAAATATATGAATGAGGGCGCCAGCTGCTTGAAGTCCCTGGGACACTGTAAATGCCATCGGGCTTGGGGGAAACATTTTCATGTCCCTCATAGAAAAAAAAAAGTCATTTGTATGTTTCCAGCTCAGAGAAAAAAAAAGTAGTGCTTACGAAGTCCAACGCCACCAAGCAACCTTCATTCTGTCCCACACTGCAGAGAATGAATCCAGCGCGGGCCGCACGTCCAGGATGGCAAACTGGTAATCCTGGTTGACTTGGCCACCATCGTAGTAGTCGATCACATATCTCACTTCCCTTCCACAGCGGTCGATGACCCAGTCATGCCTGTCGAAAGGCAGCTCGTACCTGAAACGAAAACAGGTGCACCGTGATGACAATTCGCAAGACAGCACAGCAGTTTCTCAGACCGTTTCGTTCTGGCTCTGACGCGGTAAAGGGTGCTGACACCTACCCCATCCAGGAACGAATCCTTGCCCTCGGCGAATACTCTCGGGCCTTCCCTCCAAACCGGATCAGTGAGGGACCGCAAGGACACTCTCTGGAAATCCGCACATAAGAGTCCGTTACAATCTTATCTTTTCTCTAACAATGAAGTTCTCATAACGTACACTTTCCCACATGTATCTCTCAAGATATCACTTCCCTGTGCAAAGCGATTCCAAGAAATAGCCATGCTTGGAAGGGCCATGCTACAATGAATGTCAGGTGCCCCAAAGCATCTGCATATCATGTTCCCAAGTCTAGAAAGCTGGAATGAAGTCAGGAATGCTCTCGAAAAGCTGGAAGGAAGTCAGGAATGTTCTGAAAAAAACTGGATTGAAGTCAGGAAGGTTCTAGAAGCTCAAACACACTTACCTTGCGTGAAGGGCTTCCCACTTCAGAATCTCCTGCCAAGCCTGCTCATTATTCTGATTGTGAATTTTAATAATATTAGACATGTCTTGCTGAGTGATATCCTCTTCCTTCCACTTCCACCTAGAAAAGAAACAGGAGGTGAGATGGGACCAACTCATAATGAGAGTGTGCCCAGATATTCAGAAGACAGTTTATTAAATATTATCTATCCTTGACAGAAAAAACTAAGAATGCTTGTCTCCACTGGATTAGATTCATTTTGACATTTACTTATCTATTAACTTATCATGATGCAGAAGTGGTAATCAAAACATATTAGATACAGGCTGAAAACAAAGATGAAAGGCTCATTTTCACCTCACTTTAGTGAGTCACCAGAAACGAGACTGACACACCAATACTAAGAAACTATAGAAGGACATTCAGAATCTTTGCTATTGTGGGAGACAATAGCCAGTTGAATCTCCCCTGAAGGCGCCAGGAGCAATTGATAAGGAGGATAAGCAGGATGCATCTTGGTTCACAGGTTTAGATAAAGAACCTGGGAGAGGCACCTTGCTGTTGAGATGTAAATGGCTCAAGCCCCTCCTCCCCAGATGCCTGAGTGGCGACAACCTTCCTTTAAAAGTCTGGTGCTGTTAATAAACTACTGACCATCAGTCAGTACTACACGCCTGTTATCATAGCCTGAACAGGGACTTGAAAGAAGAAGAGAAAGTGCAGCGGAGACCCCCACAGAAAGTGGTGAGTGGGACAATGGGCCAGAACCAGTGTAGAGCACAGTCATTTATCTCTCTTACGTAGGAATTTTTAGTGAAAAGTGGAGCAAAGGTAACTAGGCAGCAATTGCATTCTTATTTAGAGCTTATTGGTGAGCATCATCTGTGGTCTCTAGATGAAGGGACACTAGAAAGCGAATTTAAGAATTTTACTCAGAAAAATGGTGAAAAGGCTGGAAAGATAGAAAATATTAAACTTAGTTTTTGGATTATACAGGCTTTGATTAAAGCTGTTACTATAATTTTAGAAGGGGAATCTGCAAGAAATTCTCCACCTTAGAAATGTTTGAAGGGGCCCTGGTGGCCTGGCCTAGCAGCTAAAGTCCTCGCCTTGAACGCGCCCCGGGATCCCATATGGACGCTGGTTCTAATCCCGGCAGCCCCACTTCCCATCCAGCTCCCTGCTTGTGGCCTGAGAAAGCAGTTGAGGACGGCCCCAAAGCCTTGGGACCCTGCACCCCTGTGGGAAACCTGGAAGAAGTTCCTGGCTCCTGGCTTCAGACCAGCATAGCATTGGCCGTTGCGCTCACTTGGGGAGTGAATCATCGGACGGAAAATCTTTCTCACTGTCTCTCCTCCTCTCTGTATATCTGCCTTTCCAATAAAAATAAATAAACCTTTAAAAAAAAAAAAAAGAAATGTTTGAGGAAGATTTTAAGTGTAACTTATGATTTATAGATAACAAGATTCTTTAACGGCCTTAGACGTTAGAAAAGCCATAGAAATTTGTGGTGGGATCCAAGAACAACCCTGACACCCTCTTAAAAGGAGGTTGTGTGTACAGAGCAGGAGGGGATCTCAGAGCAGAACAGGATAAGAGGAGGTCTGATCGAACATAATTCTGATTAACTCATAAAAACTTCCTATCTGTTTGGGGGCTATAACCTCTTCAACAATTAATTCTGACATAAATCTGGCAAACACATTGATAGTATAAAAAACAGGCTCACTTACTCACCCTTTCCTTAACATTGCATTCCAGAACATCTGTTCAGAAGGATAAACCCACTTCCTCTCCGAATTTGCCCTCGGAATGGACGACTCCTCTCGGACAGTAGATAACGCAAACGGTTGATCTGGGGCTGGTGTTTGGTTAGGTGGTGGCATCTGCATAAAACAAGCACATTTTGTTTTTTTAATTGCCAGTAATATGACATCAGGTAGAAACAAATGATATATTTCCTTCCTTCCCAGAAAGCAGTGCCTCACACATGTCTTTAATAAACTAGTTCTCTCTAGAAATCTGCAGTCAAGGGCCCGGCGCGGTGGCGCAAGTGGTTAAGTCCTCGCCTTGCCATATGTTCTAATATTCCTTCAGCTCCCTGCCTGTGAAAGCAGTCGAGGACGCCCAAAGCTTTGGACCTGCAAGACTGGCTTCGGATCGGCATAGTATCGGCTCACTTAGTGAATCATCGGACGGAAGATCTTCCTCTCTGTCTCTCCTCTCTGTATATCTTTCCAATAAAAAATAATAAAAATAAATCTTTAAAAAAAAAAAAAAAAAAAAGAATTCTGTAGTCAAAATATCAAGTATCCTTTTTGTTTTTTTCAGGCCTTCATTCTTTCTTTTGTTTAAAGGTTTATTTATTTTTACTGCCAAGTGAGATATACAGAGGAGGAGAGACAGAGAGGAAGATCTTCCGTCTGCTGATTCACTCCCCAAGTGGCTGCAACAGCCGGAGCTGTGCCGATCTGAAACCAGGAGCCAGGAGCCTCTTCAGGTCTCCCACACAGGTGCAGGGTCCCAAGGCCTTGGGCTGTCCTTGATTGCCTTCCCAAGTTGGATGGGAAGCGGGGCGGCTGGGATTAGAACTGGCACCCATATGGGATCCCAGTGCATTTAAAGCAAGAACTTTAGCCACTAGGCCACCGCGCCAAGCCCAAATATCTGTTTTCAAAGACTAGAGATGATACCATCTTAGCAGTCAGTCATGTATCATGGGCATCTATAACTTTTATAGAGATGCTTCATCTCTCCATAAAATATGCCAAAAAGAAAGGATGGATTACCATGTTGGAAGGATCTAGGTTTTCCTTTCTCTTGAACTTAGCACCTGTAACGGGGCATTCCACGTACTCATACGCACGGTCTTGGTGAGCTGGCACAGAGTCTGTTTTCTTCTCACAGTTTTGGTCAGATGATCCCGCATGCATCGGACAACCTAAATAAATCAGGACACAACCCATGTCAGCCTGAAGGACATAATCTGCCCCTGACCCCACTGGGGGGGGTGGGGCGGGTAGACAAAAGAGTGGGACAAAATTCATTCTCTAATTGTAGCATGCCTCCAGCAAAAAAAAAAAAAGAGAGAGATAATAAGGTATATCTCAGATATCTCAGCAGTTGCCAGAGAATGGATGGCTAAAGCTATGGCTTTAGTCAAGGGCCTGCCCCCTTGGATGTTTTAATGGCAGACCTGGCTCTACTCACAGAAGCCAGCAGCAGTATTTCCTCTTAGTTGTGACCAAAAAGGGTTTTCCCGTTACCAGTTGAGACCACTACAGCACATACAGCACAGGTGGAGCTGAACTTAGGAAGCCATGGGTCATGCACCCATATTATCTCCCCCAGGACACTGTGACATCTCGGCCAGACACAAGTGACCCTGGCTCGCAGACCTGTGACCCTCCCCACCACCCTACACTGTCCCTTCCTGAAAGCCTTTGGGACATGAGCTTCAGCTTTCACTCTGTGGACAAAGTGTCAATTACCTTTCCTTGTACTTTCATGCTTTGTCTCCACCGGGACAGCCGCAGTCGAGGTCGACAAGCCCATGGCTGGAATCAGGGTCCACTCCCAAACAATTCTAACTCCCCAGCTGGAGAAACACAGGGACAAAGTTAATGTGGATGCCTGGAACGCACACAGTGTACTTGTGATCCTGAGAGACCCTGAAACAGTGAGGAGACGGGGAGCCGGTTGCTAGGAGACCCCTCATAGTGAGGAGATGGGGAGCCAGCTGCTAGGAGACCCCTCATAGTGAGGGGACACAGGGAGTCGGCTGCTAGGAGACCCCTTATATTGAGGAGGTGGGGAGCCGGTTGCTAGGAGACCCCTCATAGTGAAGAAATGGGGAGCCGGCTGCTAGGAGACCTGTCAGAGGGAGGGGATGGGGACCAGCTTCTAGGAGACCCCTCATATTGAAGGGATGGGGAGCGGGATGCTAGGATACCTGTCATAGTGAGGGGACGAGGAGCGGGGTGCTAGCAGACCCCGTCTTAACGAGGGGGCGGGGAGCAGAGATCTCCCAGCCCCTGCAGCCCTCCAGCAAGGGGTGGCGAAGAAATGGGATTCAAAGAAGGAAAGGGAAGAACTAGGGCCTCCACCCGCCACAGCTAAGTCGTCCTTCCTCACCCGACTCCTCCGACAGGCTGCTCCGGGCGGCCTCACCTCCAACCGCAAGTCAAGCCCAGAGGGCAGAGAACACGCAGCCGCCGCCTTCCCTCGGTCACCGCAGTCACCCCTTTCACCCTCGGCCGCGCGCCTCGCTACTTCCTCTTCCGAAGGCGGGACTTCCGGACGCTTGGGTCTGAGTGCCGCGGCTGAGGGAAAAGGGAGTTCCGCCACGCCTAAAGGGCGGAGTCTTTCCGAGCCACGCCCTATCGCCCCTACACGGCCCACAGCGAGGCCACGCCCCCTGTCAGTCACCGCCCACGGCGGAACCACGCCCCCTGGCCACGCTCTCTCTTTTTCTTTTTCATTAGTATTATTTCATCTTGATAACCTTTCCATAGTTGATTAGGCACCGAGGGTCAAGGGCTCCAGGCCCTTGTTTCCACAGTCGTTGTTTTTTCCTGCATCTGGGGCAAGGGGGCAGATAAAGGGAGAAGCGAAGCCGGAGAGCGAGCGAGCAGGCGCTGAGGAGACCCGGAGCTGCAGTGAAGGAGCCGGGGAAGCGTGCAGAGCCAGCCCCGCGACCAGGGCCTTCCGGGGCGTGCGAGGGCAGTGGTGGCCACAAGGCAGCTCCGGCCCCTCAGCTGACGGGTCAGTGCCGCGGGTGAGTGGGGCAGGCGTGCAGCCAGCGGTAACCACAGCCTAGGTCACTCAGAGGCACAGAATCAATGCTTCAGATACAGACCCATCTCACAGGACCATGAAACACACGTTGACTTTTTAAATTTCCAAGGAGTCACATCTTTGCCTAGCATCGACAGTTCTGAATTCAGGGGAAGAAAGGCTTTTGAGGGAAAAAAAATGTCATGTTCTCCACATCGGTCCCCGTTGTCGCTAATGAAAGCACCTTGCCGTTTTGAAGCATGCGTGCACACATTGTACTGGTTTTTCTTTATTTTTTTTATCCATCTGCCTGAAATGGGCTCTATTTTGTTTCAGAACATTGAAAATGGACACTGTTAAGTATTCCACAGATATTAACTAGACTTAACTAGTACACGTTCCACACAAAGAATTAACCATCTTCAGTGTGAGAATGGAAAAAAAGAAAAACTTTGGATGGAAGGACAACACCGGTTTAGGTTTCTAACAAGAAGGTCTCAGCTTCGGACACCGGGAGGCGCTGTAGGCTCGCCAGAGACGCTGCTCGTCCCGGGCATCAAGTGCTTTAGCTGGTGCATTCCAAACTGGAATCAGGATGTGGGGACCCTCCAAGCTAAGGGAGATTCCTGGATAAGAAACACACAGTCCTAAAGCAAACTTCACCAGAGGTGGAGCAGGGGCTGCGGCATTGCTAATGTAAATGACCTCGGGATTCCAAGATGATTGCTAAGAACGCCATGGATCGCATCTCCGCAGTCAGAGGGGCAGTGAGGGTCTCTGCGCCTGCTGAAGCTGCTGTTGAAAGTTTAAGACCTTGCTTCTCCCAAGTTTTTACCCTCCCAAGAGCAGGTGCTCCCCAGATTTGTCCCTTGGTGCCCTCGAGGGAAAATAAAGGGACAAACTCAACAGTTTTCACCACTTTGAGGCATTGTCATGACAAAGCAAGGAAATAAAGCCCAGACCCCCCTCAGATGGGGATCCGAGTTACTGTGAAAGAGACGGTGCCTGCGTTCTCAGCTTCAATCAGAATGGCAGGAGGAAGCCACCAGCCACACCCTTCTGATGCCCTTACTGTCTTGACAAGGTAATAGACATTCCTGCCCATTGTGAATGAGATTTTTCTTTTTGGGGGGGCCCGGCAGCATGGCCTAGCGGCTAAAGTCCTTGAACGCGCCAGGATCCCATATGAGCTCCGGTTCTAATCCCGGCAGCTCCACTTCCCATCCAGCTCCCTGCTTGTGGCCTGGGAAAGCAGTCCAAGACTTTGGGACTCTGCACCCACGTGGGAAACCCGGAAGAAACTCCTGCTCCTGGCTTTGGATCGGCATAGCATCGGCCGTTGCGCTCACTTGGGGAGTGAATCATGGGACAGAAGATCTTCCTCTGCTCTCTGGACTTTCAATATCTGGGCCCAGCGCGATAGCTTAGTGGTTAAGGTCCTTGCCTTGAATGTGCCGGGATCACATATGGGTACCGGTTCTAATCCCAGCTGCTCCACCTCCCATCCAGCTCCTTGCTGGTGGCCTAGGAAAGCAGTCAAGGATGGCCCAAAGCCCTGGGACCCTGCACTTGCGTGGGAGACCCAGAAAGAAGCTCCTGGCTTCTGGATTCAGATCAGCGCAGCACTGGCCGTTGAGGTCTCTTGCGGAGTAAATTATCGGACGGAAGAACTTCCTCTCTGTCCTTCCTCCTCTCTGTATATCTGCCTTTCCAATATAAATAAATAAATGTAAAACAAATTCTAATAAATTAAAATTTTTTAATCTTTTAAAATAAATAAATAAAAATGAATAAATCCTTTTTCAGGGCTAAGAGCTTTTGGGAGAAAGGCGACTTCAAGGTGTTTGTCTTTTTAGGAATGGAATCATTAGATGAATAATAATAAAAAGGGACATAATCAGATGTCAAACATACATGATAAAATATTTTGGTGGTGATATCCAAAGGCTAACATTTGAGGCTGGCATTGTGGTGTGTTAGGCCACTGTTGGTCATTGTGCATCCAACAGTGCAGTGCCAGGCTGATCCGTGACTATCTAGTTTGGACTTAGATTCCTGCTAAAGCGCCTGGGAAAGCAGTAGAATCTGACCCGGGGGCTTGGATCCCTGCCACTGATGCAAAAGATGCAGACAGAATTCATCGCGATGGACTGTTTCCTGCCCCAGACACGACTTTTGTGGCCATTTGAGAAGCAAATCCAGAGAAAGAAACATCTGTCCCAATTTTCCTTCCTCTCAGGGTGTAAGCGTTTCTGTGATCGGAGAGGAAGCTATCTGGGCTTGAACACCAAAGGTTAAGGTCCTTGCATCTGAAGCAGAGTCCGTGAAGGACAATTGCAGGTTTATAGATGAGGCAGGAATCTGAATACAGTAAGTCAGACATTGAGTATACGCTGAACCAGGAACGGTCTCCCCCAAGAGTCTCTACCCACTCCATATCCCTCATCCACGCACATCCACCCAGAAGAGGAGCTGCAGTGTCGGTGGGAGTTCTAGGAAACCCTGTGTCCACCTCCCTTGCTATCTTGGATCAAGTGCAGATCCAGCCGTAAGGGCAATAACTGAACCTGGGTAGTTATAGGGATGCATAGATGAGTGGATGGGGCTTTGGAAATTCAAGATTTCCTAATCAAGTAGTTAACAGAGATAACCATTCGAAACACACCCACCTTTAAGGCCTGCTATATAATCTTAATAATTACAGTACAAAAATGTTCCCAGCTCTGGAATGTAATCCATGACTAAGTCACAACTATTTTAATAGGTGAGAGCAAACATTGATTTAAAGTATTAGACGTGAGTTACTAAAGGAAAATTACTTTAGGTATGCTCAAGTAAAAATTGCATCATTTTTCCTTTACTCGTGATTTATTTTATTTTATTAAGATTTATTTCTTTTTATTGCAAAGTCAGATATACAGAGAGGAGGAGAGACAGAGAGGAAGATCTTCTGTCAGATGATTCATTCCCCAAGCTGCATCGATCTGAAGCCAGGAGCCAGGAACTTCTTCCAGGCCTGCCACGCCGGTGCAGGGTCGGTCAAGTGGGTGTTCCCAAGGATAATTCTGCCTTTTGTTTCACCTTAAAGCTCTCAATAGAAGTTCTCAATATCAATCAGTAACACATTCCTACTACAATCCTCATTCTACAACTTAATCTTGAATCAGTTAAGGGAGGAAATGCATCACAGAAGGAGGGAGCTAAAGATCAAGGATGGTCAGTGGGGGCAGCAGAGACAGAGACAGCACCAATTGTCCAAGTCGGTTGTGCAAGACGTTATCAGCAACATGAACGTCCAAGCTCACATTAATAGTAAAGACCAACTTCACAGTGGCAGACAATGCCTAAATAGATTACAGAATTCTCAGCGGGGTTGTCAGGTGTCCATGCAAAGGGAGGTGGAATTGCCTTCAGGGTCCATGCAAAGGAAGGTGGTTGTAGAGACATCCGCAGGCCCTGCCATACAGCAGGAAATTCCTTGCAGTCCTGCCTGCAATGGAACAGTTCTCTTCACACCTTCATGTCCTCCACATCCACTACACGGACCCCAGCAACTTCTGATACATCATGTTGTGCCTGCAGACCACAGGGCTGACTACCCAGGAAATAACCATCACTCTCTTACTGTTTGCCAACTGAGGAGTGCAGAGGCTTGGGGGAAATACAATGTCCCTGGGCCATGACATTACCACCACACAAAAACTGAAAGGGCTTTTTCAGGCTTCTTCTAAGCATGTACCATTCTTCATACTCCTGCCCTGACTTTCCCACTGGATTTCCTTATACATGGACCACCTAGATACTGTATCCCTAAAAGTTCTTTCCATTGGTCAAGATGATTTCTACAGGCTGTGGGGAGCCCTTGGATGTGATATATGTATTCTTCACTTATTGGAAACAGAAACACCCATAATTCTCACATCAGTGAGTTTTCACATTAAGGTATGAGCCACAGGCTTTACTCTGGGAGGGAGGCTATGCTGGCGTTGGATCTTCTGATGTGGAAACAGGAAGTGGGCACTATGGGCTGTGCTTTAAATGATTCCTTTGTCAGTGGTAAATGCTCTGCCAGTGTGGTGCCCAGATTTTGAGATTTCCAGAAATCACCAGGAATCTGAAGTCAATCCAAGTGCACAAGGATGGTTTGTTCAAGCTCAGCACATCTGAGCCTGGGTTCTTGGTTGAAAGCAGTTCTTGGTTGCGCCGGCCAGGACCAATACCCCTTGAAGTGTGTCCTCGAATAGAACATTCATAGGGACAGACCACAATAGCTTGAAAAGGGGCAATTCACAATAGCCTGCAAGGTGAGGGGAAATACCACACATTCCCTAGCTGGACAGCCCATGCCTCCAGCAACTAAGGGAAGCACCCACTTAATTACTTGGAGCCACCTGTGAGATAACCAGACTTAGGTGGGCCTTGATTCATAAGAATTGGGACCCATCAGTGCTAAAGGTCACATAAGCCATTTGGCCTGCAGGCTCACACAGTTTCTT